TCCTGGAAGGGGACAGCCACAGTTCAGCAGACACCCAGAAACATGCTGGCTGCCCACAAAGGTGGCAAAGCCCCTTGCTGCTCAGAGACACAAAGGCCAGAAAGCCTCACACCACCTTCTCCCTTGGTGTCATTAGACCCTCCCTCAAAGGAGCCGACACGCTGCCAGACTTGGCTGAGCTCATCAGGACCGTGCCTAGGCTGGGTGGTGAGGCAGGTCATGCCAGCTGAGAGGAGGCAGCAGGAAAGCTTTGACAGCGTTGCCACAGAGCTATGAAGAAGAATCCCACAGAAATGACAAACTCACCTCAAGAAGAGCTTTCAGCATGTTTCCTGTCACATCTGGCTCCAGCAGCCAGTGATCAAAGAAGGTCATGTTGACCACTTTTCCTCGCACAGCAAGGATACCAATGCCCTTGAAGGAGAATTCCACCTCCTTCTCGTCTGCAAGGGCCCCAGCAAAGCAAAGCAGGGTCTCATGTACACACAGCTCCACAATTTCTCGGCGGAAGTGGGTGTCTGCAGCAATCTCCCCAAAGTCCAGCTGAACAACAGGTGTCTCATCTAGGACACAAGCACAAAGTAACAGGGTGTCTGCTGAACTGTCCCCACAGGTCAGCCAGCTCGGAGACAGTGCTCCCCTTTTAACTTCAGCCACCTCTCCCAAACAGAGCTGGCGGTCAGGAGAGGCCAAGCAAAGCTTTGCCTCCTGCTGCAATCAACCAGCTGGAGCACAGGGAGAGCTGGGGAGATGAGGGTGGCTCCCCAGGGAGGGGTAGGCTGCTGGGTTGCCCTGTGTGTGCCCACACTTAGCACTCTCCAGGTTGGATGTGCCTTTCCTTGGCCATGTCAGAGCTGTTGCCAACAAGCCAAATGCACGGCCTGTGCAGGGAAAGTATTCCATCTTCTTACCAGGAATTTTGGTTTCATCGCACTCAAGGTTGTAGAACGCCTGCAGGGGCTTGCTCACAATGAACACGGGTCTCTCAACAGTCAAAACCTTGCCCTCTTCCACAACAGCTTGCACTGGGACAAGTGCAAATGTCCCAATTCCAATGTCCACTGCCTGGAAACACAAGCAAGAGGAGGGAGCATTGGCAGGGCTGCCCAGAGGCGGGTTGGTGGCCACATGACTGGCATGGCCCTGGGGATGGCACTTTGGGCCCTGCTCTGGAGGCCCAGAGGGACAGGGTGAGGCACATGCAGCAGGCAGGACTCACCCTCTTCTGCAAGAGCTGTCTGTGGATGTAGCGAGATGCTCCAGACCAGATTTTCCAGACTTCTGAAAAGCAAAGGAAAAGCCCTGCCATGCTCTGATTCAGTGACAGCCACCACCCCCTGTGCCCCTGCCCATACAGGTGAGAGTGGAGCGCCCTAAAGCCCCCTTTGCCCTGAGTAAGCACTCTCATCAGCGGGGATGCCCAACTGTGTGTTTGACTCCAGGCTCAAAGCAACCCACCCTGTGTCCATGATGGGCCTGGCGAGGAAAGACAGGCAGTAGTTCTGGGAAGGGCATTTCCACTCCTAGACACTGCCAGTTACTGGAGGCCTGGACTAACAAAGCCACCCCAGAGCCTCGAGGCACCACAAGGCAGGGTTCTCCTTACTGCAGTCTGTGCCGTGCAAAAAAGCCCCCTCTGTGGCCGCAGCCTCGGGCTTTCCACAGCTCATCTCCATGTAATCTTGGCCCTGACAATGCTCCTGAAAGGGACCTCCATGGCCTTACCACTGTTGCTGAGCTCTTTGAGGGTTGGGAGGTCCCCCGGCCCCACAGGCTTATAGCGCATGTACTTCATCATCTTTGCGTCCCTGCACTGCAGCAGCTGAGGAAGAGGTGCTTGTCCTGCTACAAAACCCCTCTGCTCCTCTCCTCCTTCACACTTCTTCCCAAGCAATGTCTACAATATTCTTCTAAAGTCTCCTGGCAGAAGGGCAGATCCTGCACAGCAGTGCAGAAAAGGTGCCTGCCCTGCTACAAAATCCTTCTGGTCCTCTCCTCTCTCTCAACGCTTCTCCAAGCGGTGTCTCCAACGCTCTCCCGCAGCCTCCCTTCGCCTCCTGGCAGCAGGGCAGCTCCTGCAACAGCAGAGCGCTGGTAAGAGCAATCCTGGAATCACCCAGACCTCTCCAAAGGTTGTGGTCCAGGGACACTGTCCTGGGATGTGGGTGTCCCACTGTGATGTCATGCCATAGGTCACAGGGCTGCACACAACCTGCCACCACACAATCCCACCCACGTTTATCTCCAGCACGAGCAGGGCAGCCCCACTGGCCACCTCAGGCTGCTGCACTGACCCTCCCACCTGCACAGCTCAACTCATCCTCCCCAGCTGGGCACACAGGAACTCCTGGAACCTGGGGAGGAACATGCATTAGTGCTGAAAGGGGCTTCGTGCACTCAGAATAAAGATGGAGAGGTCCTCCCCAGGTCACAAGGGAAAGCAACCCCCTGTTTTGGCTACAAGGCAACCCTCATAGGTTTAGGCCCCTCCTATCCCCTAGGCCACTGGGATGGACCTCTTTCCCTACACCAGGATCCACAAAGAAGGACCACAACTGCACAAGGGATGCTGCAAATACACCATGTGCCTTGTAACTGCATCCTCCCTTGCACACACACCCTCCTGGAAAACTTCCCTGGTCATGACTTTTGGCTTCCCAGACTCTCCAGTGAGCTCCCAGGGCCCCATTATCCCATGGGGACCCTGAGCACAGATCCAGGAGCAGGAGATATGCTAGAAACAGCACCAGGAGAAAGCCCTGAAGATACAAGGAACGAGAAGACTGTTACCCAAACACTGACCAAAGGCCCCAGGAGCCCAAGCTCCAACACCAGAATAACAAGCTGGCCCTGAAGGGCTGAAGGTCCCCCGAAAGAGGGGTGCAGGTGCCAGTGCACTGGGCAGCATCACAGAGAAGCCTGTCCCACCATTGCTAAGGGTAAGACACACTGTGGAAGGCAAGAGCACCAGCAGCATGTATGGAAATGGGAAGCTCACTCTCCCAAGTCCCCCAGGAGCTGGATTCCATATTTTCCAAAAGAGTCACACCAGAGAAGGAGACCATGTTGGTCAAGCAGGATTTGCCTTTCCTGAATTCTTAGGCTGTGTTGTGTCTGCTGTGTTGTATTTCAAACAGACATCTGGTAAGTTGAAATCCCACACAAGAACAAGGGCTAGTGATTGTAAGATTTCTCCCTGTTGCTTACAGGATATTTTATCTGCCTCTTCATAC